GGCTGCCGTCCGTCTATTCGAAGTCGGATCTGTTGTAAAGTGTTTCGCATAGCGATAGTAAAATTGTCGGAATGACCATGAATTCAGTCTTACAGTTTGTTGAAATTCTACACATTTTTCGAACCATTTAGTCAAACAACAGTCTCCTCCATTTTCCGTCACACCATCATTTCAGCGTTGAATCGGAATTCATACTAAATCCTCCGATTTGTAATAGGAGTACCGAAATGCTTCAAGAGATGTATAAGCTGGTTTTTTAGACGCAGTCAAACCTTGAACACTAGTGAAAACGTTACTCAAAATGTTGTTCACAAAAGCCTCGATCACATGTTAAACCTGCATCATTCAGAAGAATAAGCATGATAAACACACTGATTATGTCAAACGTGATCAACGAATGATACATTTACACTCTCATAATATTACTCTGAACAATTCTATGGAGCAAGTGAAAAAAGCAAATACTATTCATCAGAAATTTATATCAGTGTAACCAAAGAACAAGTGTTTCTTGTCAAAGTGGTTACGATGTTTTATGCAACTTATTTGTCAAATTGAACATTCATATTGATTCAGTTTGGACGCGTGAAAATATTTTCAATATGTCTTGATATTTTGTAGTGTTTATAGGTATTTTAATTATAGTTGTAATCGCGAATCCCAGCAATAACGTAATCGAAATAATAAGTACTAGGTAACCACAAACGAGTGTACTGTATTTCGAATTCTAAATTTAGCATGCAACTAGTACAAAGGAATCATTAATTCATTCTGCTTAAATTGTAGTTAAGTTGTCTGCATTCAATTGTACACCTTCTTCTCAAGTTCATCCTGTTTCTGTCGGATGGTGTATCGGATAAGGATTCTGTGTTATCAGAAATGTGCTCATTGGCGTTAGAATTAACAACCCAAATTAAAACTGACTCACCTGGTTCCTGAAATTGTATTTGATCAATATGTCGATTGTGTGTACTTAAGTCATTGATATCTATAATTCGCACCACCGATTTCCCGATATTCTTCGGAACAATCTCCGTAGATAATTTGTAACTTCTGCGGACACCAAACATCTGATATGCGACCGGAGAATTTTTCCTTTCAATAGCTTCGATGGAGTCTCTTTCGTCACCAACTATTTGGCATTTCTATAATGCAATAGAAACGTATCTACTCCCCTTTTCAGCTTATTATACATTGAGGCGGCAATAGAATCAATAGCATTTTTCAATGTCCTGACAAGATTTTCTGCCTGACCATTAGAACAAGGATATCTGGGAGCAGTAAACAGATGTTTGCACCCTATACCATTCAGCCAGTTAGTGACTGTAACTGCCGCAAAATGAGAACCATTATCGATCGCTAACACTACAGGAACCCCTTCTCGACTAAACACCTTTCTTAATGCTTGCATTGTGAAATCAGAATTTGGTGATGTTGTGAAAAAGCTTCAAGCCATTTTGAAAAAGAATCAATAACTCCCAGTGCATAGTATTTGCCAAGAAAAGGACCACAATAGTCTGCATGATGACATTTTTCACGATTGTTTGCCGTACGAGATATATCTGTAGAACTATGGTCTACTATGATATTAGTACTGCTCTAATAATAGACCTAATCCCAAAATTGTAGATTTGTCATGATATAACTGCCTAATCTATAAGATCTTACGTGGAAGTCACACCATCGACCACACCAACTCACTGTATCGTATCAATTACCAATACATGATGTAGAACAAGGTTATGTTAGAGAAGGAACAATATATTTAACATGAATAGAAGATATAAGGCAACATTCAGATGGACCACGCCTGCATGCCGAGCCATGTCGATCGATCAAATCCAATTCATTCAATTCCTTATTCGCGCCTTCTCCATCGTAAGGTATTTCTCCACGTTAAATATTGGATGTCTATTTCCCGAGTAATTTCGTATTCAGCTTTGAGGATTGTTAGTTATGGTCCAATGCCACTACATATCTGCATTTATCTCTGGCCACCAACATGTGAGCCTTGACAAGGACTTCATTTTCTCAACACCTATATGACCACTATGAAGATCTTCAAGGACAGATTTGCGCAATGAAGGAGGAATAACAACACAATAATTTAAACACAAAATACCATCAGGAGTAGTGGATAGCTCATCCCGCTTTGAAAAATAGACAGGAAATCTACGTTTCAAATTAGCACTCCAGCCTTTCCGTATAGCACTGAGTATACTTCCGAAATGTCTACGAGTTTCTCTAATGAGATCTGGACGTCTCACTGGTAAACTCTGCACTAACAAACAGTCTGAAGTATCAACAGGTCTATCTTGCAATGATTGTCGAGAAATGTAGTCAACGTGTTGAATTTGTTTGGCACTTTTGTGCTGAACCGTATAGTCATATGCACTCAAAACAATACTCCATCGTTGAACCATAGTAGCTGAGAAACGTGCTAAGGATTTTTCACGATAATAAATAAACTTATGAGCTTTATGATCTGTGATAATAGTGAATTTCATTCCGAATACATATTTATGAAGTCTTTTAACAGCCCAAAACACAGCTAATGCTTCACGCTGAGTCTGTGAATAATCTTGTTCACTAACGGTAAGTTTGCGTGAAACACAAATAACTGATCTACCTTCCTGTTCAAAAAATTGCGCCAATACCCACAGGTGATGCATCAGTAATAAGCACAGAATGTATACTAGGGGAGTAAGTTCGAAGAACAGCATCACTTTGAAGAAACTTTAGCAGACTTCGTAAGCACGACTCCTGTTCCTCACCCCATTTGAATGAATTGGATGTCAAAATATTAAATAAACAATTTGCACGACAAGAAAAATTAGGAATAAAACGGTAATAGAATTGAAGAGCGCCCACTAGTAAACGTAGTTCCGTGAGATTTTTGGGAGACGGTGCATTTGTCAGTATAGCTAGTCGTTTCATATCTGGTCAAAAACCATTACCATCAACTAGGTATCCAAGACATTCAAACTGGATACACAAAATGAACATTTATTTGGATTCACTGTAATATTCTTCTCAATTGAACGACGTAATAAAGCAATAAGTCCCTCGTCATGAACTACCTTATCGGAACCATGAACAATGAGATCATCTTGATAAACTTCAACACCTTCAAGATCACTAATTACTTTATCCATAACTTCCTGACATATGGCTGGAGAACAACTTAGACCAAATGCAAGATTGATCTAAAGGCATTTGAAGATAAGCATCTTTTAGGTCAACTTTCGAAAACACTTTAGAACCATGAAGTCGATTTAGAATATCTTCAGTCTCTACCGTCGTGCACGGTTGCTTCAACAAACGGGAGTTCAATGTTAATCTATAGTCACCGCATATTCTAAGGGTCTTGCCGTCCGAATTCAGTGGCGTAACAATAGGAGTACCTTATGCTGAAGACTGAATCGGTTCAATTATGCCTTTCGCACACAAATCGTTTAAAGTCTTATGTACTGCTTCTCGAAGACCATGAGGAATTATTCGTCTTTCAAGAAAGACTGGATCAGCCTGTACGTGAAGTTTTATAGGCTGAATTCTAACACTTTCACTGCACTTAGCGCACACAGCTATCAAATCTTTAAGTGAAGCATCAGAATTTTCCTCAGAAACTAGGAAAGACAACTCCACCTTAAGCCTTTTCAAATTCCTTAAGCCCAGTATTGACAGTCCTGTTTCGCTAACTAAAAATTCACAAGGTATGTATGAAGAATTATCATCTCTTATTAGCGATTCACAACGTCCTCGTATGGGCAGTCTGTGTTCAGTAATCCCCAATATTGATACTTTAGTGGGTCGGTCCACAACGTTGGAATCTAACGATTTCAAGTTCTTGATTGAAATAATGGACTCTGTACTGCCTGTGTCCACAATAAAGTCATTAAATGAACCAAGTGATGTATATAATCGCTTTTGAATATGGGCTTTACCTTTCGAAATGGTAGAAAAATATAAATGATCGCTAGAAACATCCGAATTATTGAGATTTGAATTACAAGATTTAGTAATACTTGAAGTAAACTGGACAGTAGCTTTGCATATTGACTGAATGTGTCCTGTCTTACCACATTTAAAACATTTAGCATTACGAAATGCACATGAATTACGAGGATGAAACTTTCCATATGATAAAAATTTACCAAACTTGATCTCACCTTTGTGGCTTGCTTTGTTATTCCTTGTTGAAACACCTTTCATATTTACACGAGAATAGGAATCACTGTTAAACGAAAGCAAGTTTGATTGACCCTGATCTTTCCAAATAATCCTGAAAAGCTTCAGAAGTTGAATGAATATCTAACTGTTACATCAGAGGCTTGATCGCGACACCAATGTAGTGTTTATAATTATTTGAATTATAGTATGAATTAGGAATCACAGCAATAACCTAATCGGATCAAGAAGTACTAGATAACCACAAACGAATGTACTGTATTTAGAATTCAAAATCAAGCATTCAACAAGTACAAAGGTACCATTAGTTCAATCAAACACCACATAATGACATTTTCACAGTAACAAAATTTGATGAAAAATCAAAGAAAATAGACGAATAATCACAAAATCAGCTTAATAGTCACCGCGCCATAGAACCGTCATAAACCGAAAATAGAGATGTAGAGTGTTTGTAAGAACAATGACCAGCATTCACAAATGCTTTGAAAAGAGACAATAGAGGTCAAGCAATCGAGTCAATCATCGCATATGACCACTGCCATGTAACTTAACATTGTTTGAAGGTCAACAGTTCACTATACATGATTCATTTCGTTCACTTTATTCTTATAAATTTAGATCACGGTCAGTAAGCGTGAAATTGTTCCGAACTGTTAGACGCTTTTAAAGAGATCACGTTTTTTCTGTGACCTCATTTGTTATTTGTTAGCAAGATATCTATAAAAGAGAACTGTTCCAACCACTGTGTGATACTTGTAGATAATATTGTCGTTGATTGACAATTATCTAATCTCAAGAACCCAGTGAACATGTTGATTGTGGATAATGTCGATAGAAGACATTTTGATTCCACAAATCACTGTCAATCTCTCCACACAACACATGCAGAAACGTTAGTAATCCCAACATTAATGCGGTCCAAGAAATCATTCATCATGTTGATAGTGTTGATTCTTTCGTTTATGTTATTCGATGATGCTTCAGCATTGAGCAGGTCTAATTTTTTTGAATATGATTCGCAGTATACAAGTATGTATATTTCAATTAATTTTTATTGTGTTTTTGACCTAATGACTGAAGATTTATTTCCAGTGTTATTATTATTACAATGCAGTAGCTTAACCATTGAAACTACGTAAATATTTTATCGCGTGACTAGTGATATTATAAATAGAGTGCTCCTTAATCATTCGCAGCTTCGTTGAATGGAGATCTGCGATCTAACCTTTTATCCAAATGATTCGCAAATCAACGATTCTTATGCTATGTCACGTACTCACTGAAGACAATGGAAGATGGTTGCCCAAAATCGTGGATGGAATGAGTTAGGTTTAAAGCACCGTTCGATCCCGCTCCAGTGACCTAGAGATCATGCGTTCGAGCGCATGACTGAGTTTCCTCAGTTCGATTCTCGTGGATAGGGCTGTGGATGTAAAATCCTGAAATGCTCATTCTACGAGGAAACGACGGTTCACTGATCTTGTGCCTTCAATAGTGGTCTAACATTGATCAGTTAATAACTTCAGTGAAATTCGACAACCTTTACTACCTTGAACCTTGTGGTGTCAAATGAAATTTATTGAATTGCAATCTAAACAATTGTATTACTTTTATTACCATACGAAATGCACCATATTGATACAATGTTTATGATTGTGAAAATACCTGAAACACACGAAATGATAACTGTTTCACGTACCCTATTTTGTATAATGCAACATAGTTCGTGAGCGATTAGCAACAACTGAAATTACAAATACATCAATCACATATTAGTTTCAGTTGTTTTCGGCAGAAGAGACACCAAAATAAATTTTAACAAGCTCAAATGACTGGTTTTACTGAAGGTGTATGTTATAATTAAACTTGGTAGAAGAAAGTGCTTCATTTTCATGTGGCTTATAGTACGATCTAACCGTGAACTGAGTTGACAAGCTCCTGGGTGTAATGAACAATGTTGTGTGAACAGTCTTCACTCATTGATTATTACCGATTCATGAGCAATACTCATTCTCCTTCAAACGTTTGTTTTAGATACGTTAACTACTAGTGCAACTGAAAATATCGGCGATGACAATAATGTGTCGATTCATTCATCAGAGGATTTTAGATTACCACGTACATTGTTTCCACATTTCTACGATTTGTCAATTCAAGTCCATTTGCACGAGAACAAGTCGCAAGCATTTTTCTTCAATGGATCTGTGACAATAAAAGTTTTCTGTAATGTGTCGACAACCGAGTTCTTCGTACATGCAGCCGATAATCTGAATGTGAGCTTGGATCAAATCCATGTAAGCTATAGTATCCTTTGTTCAATGAACTTTTTATTTTGACCGTTTTTCATTGAAAACTGGTTCCTAATCGGAACATCTCGCTGAACTAAATAAATTAACATTTTGATAAGTTGTAAGTGGACATTCAAATGTCTTAAGCAAGTGAACTTGGAATTCGATAACATCGTGTGAGTGAATTAATAATTTTGTTGTCTCTGTCAACCGAATTTTACATGATCGACCAAATGTCTACCACGTATGTGATAATAATATGACTGTTGAAAATTATTATCCATCGTTAACTGAAATTCAGAACTTAGATGAAGTTTATTCAACAAAATGTGTTTTCAGAATCATCATTTATAATGGTTTATTTCACAGTGATTCAAACAGAATTTCGACTAGACTAAAGTTCAAGTAAAAACTCGCATCTAATTATCTTCCAATTATGTTGTAGTGAACAAAAACACCAGTAGGTACAATCGGATGTTTTAGCTAGGAAATAACAGAACTTGTTATTAAATTTGCAAACTGACCATCAATTGTTCCAAAGTGACTCAGACTTCATTGTTCTTGCATTTTCATACAAACTGCATTCTGTTTCCATTATTTACTGTTTGATCCTCTTGTCTCTCTGCTACCAGACATTCTGTTCCTGATTATCGTCATATACTGCTTATGTCAATATAAGTAGGACACACCACAATATGATTGAAGTCAGAACACAATTACATCATTGTATTTCTCAAATTATTTGAAAACAATATTGTCTGATACAACTTGCAAGTAGAGTTGTACGAAAGGAAACAAAAGTGGCAATTACTTAAATGTAAGATGTTAACTAAAAGTTATTTTACTAAAATAAACAATATCATATACCGGAAAAAACTCATTTTTTAAACAAAATAAGCGACACTAACATAAGAAATTTGAATTTATTCAGGGGGTCAACCAATAAATTTTATCAAATAGCATAAAATTCTTTAATGACTCACATGAACTCGGCGCCAAAATATTGTGAAGCCATTCGTTCAAATTGAGACGAAAGTTCTTATTAAGCATAAGATTCTACATTCAAGATCCAAAACGGATCCCTTGAAAATACCAAAATCACCGCTTTTTTAATAGTTCAACTGAGAACCACATTAAAGACTAAATCCACTTGGTATTTTTTAACTTGAATATTCCCATTGATGTTTAGAACTGCAATTGATCATTCTCTTATATGCACATGTACATACTGTGAGTGTTGTGTGGATATTGCATGAATTCGCAAACATTATAAGCAAGGATGGATAGTGGCTAGCAGTGGAATCCCGGACGCACGTTTGTCCTATTCGGGACTCGTCATCTAGATGCACCGTCCACCAGCATTCCTCATCCAACTGTGTCGTAGACAATCCTTTCCATTTCTTCCCACTCCCTATTCATCCAGTCAGTGTTTTCTTCTAATACTTGATTTAGTGTGTTGTTTGGTCTTCCTTTCTTCAGTTTCCATTCACAATTTCAAATTAGTACTTTGATGATTTCCACAATATATTTCCTATCCAATTCCAACGTCTTTTCCTAATTTTCTGTCCACTTGGAAACTAGTTTGTTATTCATTTTATCTGGACAAACAATATTGAGTACCTTTTGAAGACAATTGTCTATAAATGTTTGTACACTTATGATGATGGTTGTGGTAGTTAACCAATTATCAGCTCAGTGCAATAGGACTGTTTTGATGTTCTGTCCAGGTTGGTTCAATGTGTTTCACTGGGTCCGAATATCACTCCTCATTTCCGTAGCTATTTAGTCAGCTCTCGCGGCCTCCCCTATTGTCCATACATTACATGTAACTATACTAATAGTTGCTCTGGTTGCAGGAAGGTAAATAGGTCTCGTGCCTTCTGAAGAATCCCGGTTTTAACCATGAGGCATCCTAACTCTTCTAGTTAAATATCCCTAAACTGGGAGACCAGAGTTTAAATGGTCCAAATGATTATTCGGTATAGTCATGTTTTACCAAGGTTGTTTTCTGCGGCACGTGGTGGCTAACGTTATAAATCACACTCCTCATTTATCCGGGTTCACAACGGGGAGGAATCCTAAAAGAGCTACAGACAGAAATATTTGTTGCTGAACATAAGAGATTTTTGTTCGTATTATTCTTCTTATTTCACATTAGAGAATCCGAATTTCTACTCGAACGCAAATAAAATACCATCTATTCAAAATGTGAATTTTCCTTGTGATCAAATATAAATATTATCACTTTACAATAAATCCCGTCTCTGCTTTTTGAAAATAGATGTCGCTTTTTGATGAAAAAAATCAAACAAGTTCTTATATTCAAATAGACGAGGTCCATTATATTGAAGATGTTGATTGTTATCGAATTAAACTCAAAACGCCTTTGCAACCATATACTTATTACAATCTGACATTTGGACAGTTTCGTTCTGATATGGACTATGATTCTGATGGATTGTACATTAGCAGATATTTGGAAAATGGGATTTACAAGTGAGTCTCGATTCAAGACATATGTGTGCAGGTTTATTTGGTGTCGGGTACCAACTCAATGGTGACCGCAAATAACACAATCATTTGCATACATGTTTGAACAGTGATGATCAACGCTTAACAATCACTTCATAATACACGTTTATTTGCTCACTGTGTTTTGGTTAGAGATGCATTTATTCAGTACTAACTCGGCAATGAAAATCCTTCTCTAGGAACACAATGTGTGTCTATTGATGTGTGACATGTCCACTAGTCATCATATCGTAACTATGATCAGTATTATTACATGGTTTACAATCCCATTTGGTTTTCCATAAAGACATAGGCACAGATGACTAATAATCTGTGGAAGGTTTAGAAAGACTGGTGAGTTTTTGCTGCCTTATCAATATAAAATAATAAATGTGGATTATTCCAAATAGCGTATAAACGTGATGATAACAAATTCACAAGTCATCAAAGATGAGTCAAAACTTTTCACGTCAACGAAAATATGATTGTGTAGATGTACTGAACAACACAGTAGATGACACAATGACTTTCCGAAATAAGTGAACTATATGAGTGGTAGCTCGTCATAAGTCACAGGTGACATGTTGGGCATGATACTTTTTTCGAGACGGTTCTCTCTGTTCGAAAGCACATTTTTAAGCATCAACTATCGGAAATGAGATATGTACTTGTAAACAAATGTTCACCGTTATATATATTTCAGATATTTGGCAAGTACTTACATGGAGTCGATTTATGCAAGGAATGTATTTCCATGTTGGGATGAGCCGGAATTTAAAGCAAATTTCAAGGTATGATATATTTGAACTTTATTTCATTTTCATATTTTTCCGTATGATTTGTGATCTGCTGTGAATCCGAGTCAGTTTTTATCAGAACGCGAAATTATTAAATCGAATGATGCTTTGTGATTTAAATGCTGTGTGTGTGATATGCGAACACTTAATTGATGATGATGATGAGCTCAGCTCACTTCAGTCATGTTATGAAACACATTATTAGTCAAATTGATTAAATCGGTTCATGATCTCGTTTTACCAACACACTTCGAAATTTATTAATGTGTATCATGTTGTTTAAAGGCAACTGGTTATCTGTTAAAAGGCACCTATACCAAAGCCGATGTACAATGTTCTTATGAGAATTTACTGGAATTAACCTGGTCGAATACAAACAGTGACAATCCAAAATGTCGTATTCTCTTTCGGAACGTTAGCGTATATAATGACAGCAGTACATTTCTTGCACTAAATCAGTGTACAGAATTAAGTTACAACAATCCGTATCATCTACACGTCACCACAAAGCTCTCCATAAACCATGATTAGGTAACCAGTGTTGATAAGTCTTAAATGGAAGTATATTTCTATTTGTTTCACTACTTATGTGCGACGAAAACTTCAGGTGAATATCAAGCATTCGTAGATGGCACTCAAGATCATATGAACATATAGCCTATTCAGTATGCAACATGTTTTAGTCAGACAACACTTCCACGATTGCCCAATGAGTAATCCATCAACTCAGTTAGAAAATTAGTTTCCACATGAGTTAAGAATTTCCACGACGATATGTGATATATTGCTAGGTAAGCACGATAAGAATCTTGAATTGTTTCAATTGGTTAGACATGCCACTTATTATTCGAGAACAAATTTCTCACGTTTGTATCTTTCAGGTCAATATTATACGCCACAAAAATTTCCATTCGCTTTCAAACATGAATTTGGAAAGTACGAAAGTTCTGTACGATGATTGGCATGTCGACAGGTATAACACCAGTGTGAAAATGTCCACATATCTGTTGGCATTTGTAGTTTCACAGTTTTCGAATATTCAGAGGACAGACAATAGAGGACGAAACGTGAGTGTTATCAATTAAACAGATGTTTTGTAATTCTCCATGCAACACTTTTGTAATGTATCGAAATCATGTATATCTAGGAAGAACCATCATGAGATTGCATGCAACCGAGCATCCGAGACGGTTCGGCATATACATAGATCCACGTTACATACATACCAGCATTCACTGTGAAGTAGTGGCAGTTCCTCGATGTTTCGAAGTTACGTGAACACGCTTGCAACGCCGCAGTGATGGTAGAAACTAAAACAGAACACCTGAATAGAGGATGTTCCATACAAGTATTCAAAAGTACAAGTATTGTTTGATGGTACAAGCCATTGTTTTAACAATGCTGAGTTCTCTGTGTTTCAATCAAATCAAAGTGGTTCAATCACTCGTGACATTGAAAACAGTCTCTTTTATCATATTTTAGAAGTAATGACTTTTTTATCGTAGGACTGATTCAATTCCAGCTAAAACAATTCTTTCATTTAGTTCACTGTTTGGGCAAGACCGGATAAAATTCGATCAGCTGAATATGCACTTGATATTGGCATAAAATTATTGGGATACTTTGAAGATTATTTTGGCATTCCCTATTCCCTTCCTAAAATGGGTAGGTATTTCACATAAATGTGTTCACGTTTAATGTATGTGTAATTAAATACTGTACAATGTAAGCTATGCAACCAAACAATAATGTCTAAATAACTTAAAGGGATGCATGATCAACCAAATCCAATGTTATTTTAATTACGCTAATTATATTTTGAACTGGAGTGGATTGAATCATAATAAATATATTCAAAAAATAAATAATACATTTGTATTATCACAACCGTGTATCTATGTGTGTAGGTATTTATGTAGGTAAGTATGTATGTACGTATGTATGTGATTAGAACCGTTTACATTTGAAACATATCTTCCATCATGTTTTCAGATATGATTGCAATTCCTAATTCTTCAATAACGGCAATGGAAAACTGGGGTTTGATAACTTATGATGAAAATAAGATTTTATGGGACGCAGAAAACGGTTCAATAAATACTTTAATTGATGTGACGTTTTCTGTCTCACATAAACTTGCTCATCAGGTATGCTTTTAAATGAAGAACGAAATGTTAAATTTACTTTGTATCTTTTTAATTTAAGATCGTTCGGATCATAAACTTACACTACTTGGAAAACGAACGAAAACTGATTCGTTGTGGTTTTTCACCGCATCAATGGCAAGACATAGGATATCTGAGAATTCCGGCTAGCTAGTTTCGTTTACTTCATACATTTGGTATCTGATAATACACTTTTCTATCTTAATTCAGTTTCCGTTCATTGTTGATAGACGTGTTAAGTAAAATAATTATTCAAATGATCCAAGCGATTTCTTAAATGTTTGTTGCTCATTCATCACCTCATATGTCATTATTACCAAAATTCGGTTTACTGACAAGCTGAGTCACTATTTTCGCTATTTTACATGTGGTTATATTGTAAATATAACACAATTACTGCTCCCATGTAATCATTTCTCACAAGTTGTAGTTGAACTCCATGAGTTACTCATTTTCACTACACCATTCAGAATTCCTTTACAACTAGGATTCAGGAACGGAATATAAGATGTCATCAAAATCTACAAGCATCATTTTTAACAATATAAGTATATGATCTTATGTTAATATCGAAATCGATTGAGCAATCCGAATATGCTACGTTTATCAATTTCCAATTAAAACACATTTCTTTCAGTGGTTAGGAAACTTGGTGACAATGAAATGGTGGGATAACTTGTGGTTGAACGAAGGCTTCGCAACATTTTTCGAATACATCGGAGTACAGTTACTGCATCCTGAGTGGAAAGTAGTAAGTTGAGTGTTTTGTTTGAGGATATTATCAGTTCACTGTTTCATTTTGTACATGTCACTTGTCATTTCAGAAATTGTTTTCATATAACCTGTACATGCTTCATAGAAGCGGGTATTTATAGATGAAGTTTTGCATTGCTCAACACCACACACACAGAATGTTTAGCAAATTACATAAATTCCTAAAATTTAAGATTTAATAGAACTCCATTTCATTCATCCAAAATGGTAATTTGATTTTAATTCAATTAGTGGGCATTGTTTGAATTCACTCTGTAATAAGAAGGAAGACTTTAATCAGTTTTCAGATGGCGCCGGAAAAATTCACAAATACTGAGATAATTAATGACCCTTCACTGAGTAATAGTGAATGTTTGAACAAATCTAGTACGCATTATGATTATATTCTGGATAATATTGTTATCAATAAAGATGAGTTTTTTCTTCAATGAATAGGATGAACTATTCATACTGGATGAATTGATGCTAGCACTTGATATTGATACTTTCATGTTATCAAGACCAGTCATTTATCCAGCTAATACTGCAATACGAATTATAACCATGTTTGATTCAATCACCTATGATAAGGTCAGTTGTGTATTGGCTGTTGATTTTCTTCAAATGTTGTATTTTAATTTTTCATTCTATTTTAATGACCGTCAAAAAAATCTTGATATCATGCAGAAGAATGATGCTTCTCTCAACGAGTAATTTGAAGTGTTAAATTTGCTTCAATGTTCTAATACAATGGCATTTGAGTAATGATATGTTTTTCGTCGTATCAACCTTAATAAAAGCACTATTAGTAGATTGAGGCAACAGATCGGATTTTCATAGTTGAATCCAAGAGTCGATCTAAGCTCGACCACCATCGAAAATCTGAAAGACTTACTGAGGATTTCTGTACTAAGACCAACCGACCATCCAGTGCTCACAGGTATTCAGTAGTGATTTAACTTAAATCGACTCATGAGTTCAACTGTTAAAATACTACAATCGTCACAAATCCCCACACCGCTGAATTCAGATATCAATCTAAGCACGATGAACATGACTACTACTACTACTACATTTGTTCATTTCAAGATAAATATAACTTTCGAATTTCACACTGTAAATCCATATGGCGCTTCAATGTATATTTATGTCAATAACTTGCTTGAATAAACTGAGCTGAATTCGGTGAACAAGTGAAACTAACGGAATTCAAACAGGCAGTGATATCTTAACTGTGGAAAATGACATCAGCTATTCCGACATACAATATTGAATAATCGCTGTACTTAAAAATGACTATTTAAAATCCTCCTCTACCGTTTGTGCAATTTTGATTGAACTTTGTTGATATGTCTGACTTCTGAAGTTGATAGTTGACCAAACAGATGAACAGCCTTTTTCCAGCTCTTAGAGGAACAAACCTGGTATAAAACTGAATATATGAAACTGGTCTACTCGAAAGTCTGGTCAAATAAACTATTTGAACCTGTGACTAAAAATTCTGAAAATGGATATATTGCGAATAAGAACATCATATATGGACGAACATTATTCCTTCCAAATAGATCCCTGTCTGATTTGACTCTAATATACAGCGATATTTATACGGATGTACAAAATTATTGAACCAATCAAGGGATTCGATGAGTCGGTGATTACAGTGGAGTAGATTACACAAATAAACATAATAATTAAGAAGCACGAATTAATAGTGTGATGACAGGTGTACTAGTTGTAATAAGAAAGTGAAAAGCTTGGATCGGAAATAGGTGAATGACTTGAAAAATACAAATACTGAAATAACGTTCATAAAAGCTGTAAGATCACGCAATTACACGTTTTCAGATAATTGGACAATGAAGTATATATTTAAGAAAGAAGTGAGCAGGGAGGTGGAGAAAAATAAACGATCAATGAATATGCAAAACAATAGTGAGTAAAATCTCTTATTAACCCTAATTCAGCCAAGGGAGAGTTAAGGCTGTTACAAATATCTGCTGACAACCAGTTTCAGTAGAGGTTCTAAGATTCGAACTAAACATCTTGATATTGAGAAACTTGTTATTCATAACAATTTCGACACATTTCTAATTAGTCATAAATAATGCTGTGTAACTGATTAATGTATCCGAATATTTGAGTGCACTCCTGACATTCGAAATCATGTAGCTCATTATTCTCTCATATTTGCAATTAACAGAATTGTGTATGTTTTAAGAAGATTACACAACAAAATTTCAGTGATGTTTAAACGTGAGCTTTACATCCAGGTTAAGACTACGAAAACCAGTATTTTATTTACACGATAGAAAACAGTCACCACCTGAATGATTGCACAACATTTGTTAGGCCAAGTAAATGAAGCGACGTCTAATCCGGCATTATGAATTAATCCACACGTAACTATAATTATCCAAAGTTCTTACGTGAATCAACCAAACAAGAGTATACGGTAATCTTTCGCTTTGTGTGAATCCATTATAATGCGAAAGTATATAGTGTTTAACCATGTGACATATTATATTCAAAAACAATAATATTACTAAATGCATCTTGACTTTGTTATCCATTTGAAATGAATTCATTTGTTTCCTATCGTCGGCTGGACCCAAGTAAACTGATTGACTAATCTGACTTACCTACACATTCATTCCGTGTTTCATATATATGTTGATATTCTACATTGCATTCGATAATTCACAGGGCGCCTCCTTGGTTTGGATGATGGAGAAATTCATGGGCCGTAGCGCTTTTCAAAACAGTTTAAAAGTACGTTGACAGTGGTCATTTCGTTGTAACTCAGTGTCATTTAATCTAGTCTCAACGGTCACACTCAATAGTGAACCGATTTTTTTTCATTAAGTATTTTCGAAGTTCTCTTCTACACGTTTTTATCAACAGGCAGTCTACTCAATAAAAAACTTAAACTCGTATGTCGTCATGAACAAATGGAAAATGCTTTTAAAATCAAATGTTGTATGGCCAACTCACAATCCATATTCACTATAGCTTAATTAGTGAGATATTTTATATCAAGTCGGTGTAAATGTTGTTACAAACAAATTATGTTAAACAGACTTCACTCACCATTATATCTGATAGATCGTTGGTTGAAATTGTATCCCACCTAATTATGTACAGTATATCTGTCACGATCTGTCATCAGGTGCACTAACGTAAGTGAATATTTCTGAATATAAAATCTGTTTGAAAACTACGAAATGTATTTGGGAGTACTTTTATCGTGATGATTTCAAAAGTTTGGTGTTCATAATGATAAGAGAGATCAGTGTATGTAACATTTTGAAGGGCACTTGTTGAACGATGATACATTAAACCTTCGTGTTTATTCTCTATTTATAAATAGTCAACGAATTGCTGCTAGAAATTTATTCATATATATATATATATATATATATATATATATATATATATATATATATATATATATATATATATATAGAGAGAGAGAGAGAGAGAGAGAGATCATCATTTGACTGAAAAGTGTCCATTGGCTGAACTTTTCGTTTTTAATGGTCTGTCATGTGAAAGGGATATTAGTGCACTACAACACAACCGATCCAGTGATAAAGAACACCAACAATAACTGATATGTGAATTTTAGATCGTAAAGTTCGGTTATTCCTATGATGTTCATCAACCTCACTTCAACGTGAAACTTATTTTGATTGTGGGTGGTATTTTGGAAGAAAGCAGAAACACAACACTGAGCTGTAATGTTTGCTGTCTAGGCTTAAATCCTATGATTAAATTCATGATATCTTGCAAATTGAAATCCGAAAATGCTCTATATAATACGTTTTTCTGTATTTATTTCAGAGATATTTAATTCAAAACCAATATAAGAACACAGATGAAAAGGATTTATGGAAGGCATTATCTGAAGTAAGCATTTGATGATTATTACATTAATACAAAAACATTTGGTGTAATGCTTTTTGTTGTTGAGTTCCTTTCATAATTTCTCCCGATCGTCACGCATTTTTTTATTACTGAACAGAATTATCGCCTTGAAACATATTTCAAAAAAGACATCAAATATTTATGGTATCATCTAATGAATAATTTCGTTATTCATATTCATATGTACTATTCGTTCTCCCACACTGTTCCGACTTATTCTTTGTTGTTATTCTGAAAAAACACTAGACTCCATGTTAGTAGTAGTTGGAGTTTCATCTATTGATTCATTCCACCGATTGTAATTACAGTGTTAGGACCTCAATAATCGGTTTGTGTATGTGATCATGCTTGAGCATGTTGCTTTAAATTATTCATCCACCTACTACATTCCCAACAAATGAACTAATAGTGAATGGTCTTAAACAATCAGTGAATTTAACTGTATTTCATTCAGTTATATCCACCACTATTCTCGAAACACGCCTCAGATCATTGAAACACAAAAACATTTGCGATACTGTAAAATTATTTGTCAAAAGTATAAGGCCAATAACCTAATCAAAATTTCGTTTTAATTGCAAATTAGGAATGGAATACTCAAGGAAATCATTTGGACATTGGATTTATTATGGATTCATGGACTAAACAAAGGAATTATCCACTAGTGATTGTAAAGAGAAATGGGTCGAATGTGTTCAGTTTTGAGCAGATACGTTACTTTCAACACTATGGTAACAAGTCATCTCAAACAAATCGTGAGTAAGTGAACTATGTATTAATTTAGACAACATCCGTATTCAGAGATTATATATGAAGAAAAGTGAGTTTTTGATGTATGCAACATTTGTTATCGTGTTGAGTGGTACTGGTGTCGATGGATCGAATTAGGACGTACTATCAAGTGAAAGTGAATGCCTGGGAGCGGAATGTTACCAAGATCGAAGAGAAAAGAAGGTGAAGAGAGAATGATTAGTGTGGAAATGAAGAAATAATGAAGTTTGAGACAATTGATTGCTGTTTTGAGAATGAACTAGTTGCTGTATTGCTCTCACTACATTTTCAATAGGTTATCTTAAATCATTGCCATTTACCAATTTATATGACGAGATAAAAAGGCGAAATCAAGTTTGACTCATTGTGATTTTCAACCATCATATCTTCCGTTTCTTAATAGGTGTATTATTGTTTTAATTTTCCAGTGTAATATTTTATTCGACATAACAATAATTTGTTTCAGCGTGGTGTTCATTCAAGATACGATATACTCGTATTAAATTAACATAACCTCTTCTCAGCATGAGATGTAGCATGTGATTTGTTGAAATTCTCCGTGTTTTTCATACATGTGCTTTTATTCGAATCAGTAAACGTAATGGGAGTACGATCAATATATAATGAATATCTTTTCGACTAGTGTCGTTGTTGTATTTCCGAGTTGATTGATCATCGATTTCGCCAATACCGGTGTTTGTAATTCGTGTCGTGGGAAATGCAGTGGCCTCTCGTTTTTTCAAACATTCGGTAACACGGATATAAAGATTATCTATGGGGATTTCGGAAAATTGACAGTAATAGTGGAAACCTTCATGTACCTGGACAGCATAATCGATGACCAAAGAGGACCCGATGCAGATGTGAATGCGAGGGTTGGCAAAGCAGTGACAACGTTCTTATAGTTGAAGTACATATGGAACTCCTAACAACTGTATGCAAGTAAACATCATAGTCAGAATCTTGAATACAAACGTCAAAATAGTTCTGTTGTACTGAGCGGCGACGTGTAGAACTACTAAAACCATCATCAAAAATGTACAAGCATTTGTAAACAATCGTCTGCACAAGATACTCACTGACGTTGACCGGATACAATCAGCAACAGTTTACATTGAGAGACAACAAATCATCATTCAAATGAAGAGGAAATTAGAGACAAGATTTTGGAGGTGCATAGGACATACTTTGTAGTAGATTAAACTAACGGACATTCCTATCTACTTACATTTGAAATCCAACTTGACCCCTATCGATCAACTAGCATTATCAACATGTGTTTTGTTGTGGTACTCGATCTAAATTCCTGTCTTTGATCATTATATTTATAGTTTGATAGCTTTTAGTGTTCATTATTATACCCTTTGCTTCATTCAGATACTCCTGGAGAATACCAATCACTTATGGGTCAGCACAAACGGTGAACTGGACAAATGTCGATATTGTGTGGATGGTGAACAGTAAGAAATACCATTTTGCCGTTCTCACTAGTATAAATGATTAATATGCTTCACATACCTGTACATACTTTGCGTCACATTTTGAGGCTAGATAGTCGGTTTGACGAGCCTTCCTCGACAATGAGAACACGGTTGTCCTATCGAACAAGTGTAGCACTAATTTATACTGAGTCATGTTTCTAACATTACATAGAATAAAACGTTCATCGTCCCTTCAATATTAAATTGATGAGGTGAAAATAATTACTTAAACTCCACGCACTCATTCAGCTTTAACTCATTATATCATAATAATAATATAATAAAAATATAATTAATGTTATAATATTACTGACTTATTTGATTATTCCCCAATTACACAAGACGAAATGAATCAAACAATCAACATAAGCTCAGACGACTGGTATTTGGTGAATGTAAAACAAGGTGGATTTTATCGGGTTCACTACGCTGACAATAACTGGGTCTTATTAATCAATCAATTGCAAAGGAATTTCACGGTTTGTTCAAATCACTTTTGTTTCTCCTTGTTATAAATAACTATTCTATCAAATATTTTAAATATAATCTTGTTAGTAACATGGAAATTGATAAGTAAGCATAATTATGAGGATAAATTTTGTAGAATGTGATAAGCGATACAAGATATTTTAATATAAACTATTGAGAATGGATCTTCATTCATTGTGAATATCCGACTCGAATTCTCGGCACAACATTTTCATTGGTCTTCCTCTGTACCTCTTGCCTTCTGGATTCGAAGTGAGTGATTGTCTCGAGATTCAGTCTGATGGTTAATTCAACGCTTGTCGTACCCACCTCTAACATCTCGTCGTGTTTTCATATTCAGATGGAAGTTGGCTTTTTTTCTGCTGCAGTGTGTTGCTGTTGATGGTATCCGGTTGACCGATATTCAGTGTCTTGTTCAGACAACTATTTATGAACACATATAAATTTTGACGGTGGTTATGGCAGTTCTAAAATTTTCAGCTCAGTACACTAGAACCATCTCGATGTTTGTAATGAAGATTCTGTATTTGACTCACATATCTTCAACCGTAAGAGTAGTGCTGTTACCTTGCTAATCCTTTCCATGCATCTACCACACATCCTCCTAGTTGGTTGATGATTCTTCCCAGATATGTGCATGTTTCTCCATGACTCAGTTGAGGATTTTGCTTATTCTTTTGCGAGTGTTGAGGCCTACTGCTGTAGAAGCTGCTGCTACACTGGCTATCTTCACCTGGATTGTTGGTAAGCATGATATGAAAGAATTGGGTCATCTACTGATATCATAATATTCAAGTGAATCGAGGCTTTCCAATGTGTCCCGTGCTTCTCCTGAGACGTGGTTGTTTCCACATTTTGTTTGACTGCTGGAAGGAAGAGAAACAACGATTTTAGGTATCCCGCGGCTAAGCAACTCCTGGCGTGTCAAAGTAACTGCTTCATTTTCAGCTGTTCCCTATGATAGTTACCTAGTGTCTGAGTAGATTTTCAGGCATTCGAAAACATGACTGAGATCCATTTTTAATTCGTTCAGGTTGTCAGCATCTACTAGAAATAATGCATTGAATATTTCGATGCTGTTAATACATTTGTCCATTTTCCCTTCGGCTTTAGTTTTATTTTAGCCACAACCGGGTGGTATTATGAAGCGATGTCAACCACTCTCTTTGTTATCACGTGTAATATATAGTGACGAGTTTCATTCAGTTGATTGTCCCACTTCTATCTGCAGTGTTTGCGATTTCTGATCCATTACAGTGTTGTTGAAAGTGCTGTAACAAAAGCTGAGTAGAGTTCTATGCCTTGTGATGATGATTTTTGTGGTTGAACAACTGAATCGTTGAATTTATGCTTCTTTAATCCTCTAGTTATGCTCCTTGAATAGTTCACCCTCCGGGAGTAGATGTTGTAAAACTTGGAGATAGTTGCTGAGATATATCATGGAAATATAAAGACTCAAATAACTATTTATAAGGTGTGGAACGTGAAAGAATTAATCAAACTGTCACCCGTTTCGTTAACCGAGAGATTACCAACTGTGTAGAAGTTGAGTGGTAGAAATACGAAGTGAAAAGGAATATTATATTCATGCAATATTTACAGCAGATTAAATGATGTAAGAATATGGACTGATTATTACAACATGTATGTGCAATGTGTGGACGACACATTTTTGGTAGAGAAGTCGTTTGATGTGTGTACCAACGCTTGTGTGAAATATTTAGTAATTATTTAGTCGAGTTAGATACACAAATATGTAAACAGTCAGACCTATATGGAAGGTGTTTATGAATGAAGACCTTTAAAGAAATGAATATGTACATCTTAATATATCGAATTTTGCTTTAAGCTGTTAATTCCTAATTTCAGCTCGTCATTTAGTGATGCAAACTAAGGTGTGATCTTTTTGAAATCACATTCATTTTATAGATTGTATTTTACATTGTGGTTCGATGTTCCACAAGGCATTCCGATTTCTATCTGATTTTTTTATGTCTAGGCTATTCCAGTCTTCTCACGCGCACAAATATTGAATGATTTATTCAGTCTTGCAAAGTAAGTGTGGAGTGGAAAGAAACGAATTTCTTTTTTGGATGATATTTGTTCTGTTACAAAATATCGGGCTACTTAATAACTTTGATTCCAAATACCAATTAAAAACACGGAAAATTGATAAAAATTAGTCAATATTTAAAAAAGATTGAGTATTCGACATTTCATACTATCTGATTGTAAAGGAAATACGTTTCAGAACTTTGATTTTCTAATTGAATGCCACCCATAATCTGAAACCGATCCTTTCAGAAATGCAAACTAGTACAGCAGTTTGCAAAAGAAGCAAAACGGTTAGGGTAACGTATAGTAAGCTGGATTAGAAAAGTTTGCGATGAGTTGGAGTGAATTTGCTGTACACATAGACGTTTTGAATACTGAATACACTCAGCTTCCCAGAAATCTATGTCAACCTGACGATAATATAACGATAGATTAGTATAATCTCAAAGAGTTGACATACATGATACGCTATATTTTTGAAAACATCTGTCGATACCGTTGATTGGTTACTCATTTAATATTGATTAAAAATATAACTTGTCGGGTGGAGTAATATCACAGGCATATAAACGAAGAATACTCTTTTCAACTAATTCTCTTCCTGTTCTGCAATCACATACCCAAACTAGTAGTCCGAAAAGTATGAAGATATTTCATCGAAGGAAATTTTCCTTCCGACGGTATCGTTTCCAAATCTGTGCAATCGTATTTACTGTTAATTTTTACATGCAGTATCCTACGGTAAAATAGCGGGGTTTCACATATTTGTCAAAGATAGTCAAATTTATTCATGTGGGAGTCGAAGAAAGTAAATTGATTTTGTGTGATATAGAAACGTTTGTCATCTTATGTAATGGATTCTGAATTTGTGAGAGGTAATGATCCATAGAACAAATGTTAAGCATACCGGTCTATTTATTCAAGGAGGAGAAGAATAAGGCATTGATTAGCGCTTGCAGATTGCGAAATTCGAAGGGATGCTAAGATCATGAAAGAGTAAAGCATTGAACATGACTCTAGTGTACATGGAGTTCGAGTGTGAAATATTTAATTTCTATAGATTCGACTGTGAAAAAGTTACTCAAACAAGTCATTTTGAGCCTATTTTTTACTCTGCAATTAGCTCACAATTATCTGTTTTGTCTTGTTTTTGCCTCCTTGTCAGTCGTCATATTGTGCCATATACCCTTTTCTTGAACGCAACAAAATATTTAAACCGCGAAGATGAGTTTATCGTATGGATAACAGCTAGTCGAGCGCTGCTTTACATTAATAACGTGCTTGCTCTGAATGAGAATTATGAAGATTTCCAAGCATACTTGCGAACTCTTATCGATAACCGAATTCGATCAGCGAATTGGTCATTTGTTGGTGAAGGTCAAGATCTTCCAAAGATGTGAGTAGTAATATTTCCATTTCATATGTCTCCACTCTGTCATATCACTCATATTGTCTCAGGAGACTTTTTGTTCGAAACAATCTGTATGGAAGACATTCAACAGAATATGATGCAATCGCCAGTACTTTTCTCGGAAATGCTAATTAAAGCAAACAGTAGCTGCGAAACAGATGAAACTTACGATTTCTGAGAGGGGTGAGATTCATCAAACGGGGGCTGGAATGTCTGAACCACATTAATAAACTGGAACGGTTTTGAATAAACGAATTTAAGGATAAGTGATTGATTAGTTTAGACTTCAAATTGTGTGCTCTTGTAATTAGAAACACACTGTTGTTGCCTGAGTAAACTCGTTAATTAATTGTAAATGGTGTATTGTTGTAATATAGTTATCTAAAATCCATGTAGTAAAAATGGTCCTAATCGGATATTCAAAGTTGTACTTTTTCATTTCAAGTTTGTTATAATGGAAACGGTAAAAGCTCTCCGTTAAAATGATATGAAAAATTTATTTAATCAAAAACTACAGAAATCACCAGCTCGTCGATGTTGTACCAACTGATGAGTTTAATGACACTAGATTTTTCGTAAAAAGAAAGCAAAACAGGTTTCGAGACTACGCAACATGTGGGAATATTTTTGATGTGGAGACATTATGTTTCAGCTACAAAATCGCAGCAATCTCGAATCCATTGGATAAACCGTTGTTCTCAATGAACAAATTTAGGCATCTCCGTGATATTTTATCTCTATCAACTATCTAAATAACTCACTAATAATAAACGGATTGGTATAAACAAATAAGGTATATATATGTACATATTTATTAAAGTATAACATAACTATCCTTCCACCATTTACTCGATTTTAGACGTTTTGACTATAATGTGATCAAACTGGCTTGTGTAGCTGAACATCATCTTTGTGTGAACAAAACTTCGGATCTCTTCAGGCGATGGATGTCGAAGCCCGAAACGAACCCGTTAGTCATGCAATTAATGATTTTTATACGATAAAACAGACCACCGTATACTAGGCATTTATATTTGTGTTGAATGTTATTTGAACTAACTCTTAAAACGGGTCCTAAAATAGATTGTTTGATCAGTTTTTGTTGCTATGGTCATGCACAAAAGCATGAATAGTTTGTCAATGTTATGGTTTCCTGTGTGTAAAGAACAAATAAGTCAGTAGGCGTAGTGAAACGGCTGTGAATTTGATGTATATAGTAGGCGGATTTGTGCTACCTGGATTTGTAAATCAGTTGACAATAACTCTCTTGTATGAATAAAAGATTTTTATCTACGAAAAATCTTCGAAACAACTCCTGATTCGACATTTCTACACCATTCTGAACAACACACTCCAACTTACGTGCGATATTTTAAAATGTGTCATCTACTAACTCTAAAATATCCAAGTGAATTGAGGCTGTCCAATGTATTCCGTACTTCTCCTGACATGTGGCTGTTTTCACATTTCAGTCGACTGCCGGGAGAAAGAGCAAGAGAATAGGTAGTCAGCCTTGTATTACACCGATTTTTACTTGCTATTCATCCATTTGCTGTCTGCCGTGCGTGAAATTGAATTGTGATCCGTAGTCTGGATTCCGTTTGATGCTGACAATCTTTCCAGCTACAATACAGTTGAACATGGTTTTTATTGTTTTCTCTATCTTCACTGTCGAACGCTTTTTCATAACCAAGAAAGTTGTTTCTTAATGACGGATTCATTTTAACTAGTTGCCTCGGTTTGCGCACCCGGGCAGTATCACAGCCCTCACACATATCAAATGAGATTTATGTGACGCATATGTATTTGGTGCCTCCTTGTACCAATATCAATGTGTTAAAATAAAATAAATGAATAAATAGTCTACATTGATCTATTGTATCACAATGTCGTATGTGCACGACCGATCGTTAAGAAACGTAGCCGGTTTACCTCGAATTTGAGATATTCCACCGAATATGAGTTATGATTTTTGACGTTTCGCGGCCTTAACGAGATCGATTAATCAGAGCAAATAATTGGTCAGAGCTAGGTTGACAAAAGTTCGAAGAGTGCGGAATGATATGTAGAATATTTGAGCTCATGTTCTGTTATTCATATTAAGGTGCAAAACGTCCAAACCATGTTTTTATTTCACAGTTCACCGTTAAACAAATTAAAACATGCGAATTTGATCGTTCGGAATAATACAAATTGATTGTAGGAAGAACATACACACCCAGAAATGGTAGAAAATTTAAGTAGTTAATATTTCCGAGCTATATTAATAAGCATACATTATGCTTACTATACTTACAAATGTATCTGGGGGCATAATATATGAATGAAGGTAACCCAATAATCATACGGATTGAAATCGATTTGACGATCTTATACCAAGAAAGTTAATTAACTCTGTAAACGAAAGAAGAATAAATGTTTCCTTTTCTGAATAGTTGTTAAGAAAATTTGACATTCACTCCCCATATAGTCGTAAATTTCGAGAAATAATTTCATTTCAATCGAATGAAAGTAATGTTTTTGTTCGCGTTTGTTTTATTTTACAGCATACGACCTGATTTGAGATTCATTACTTATTGTACAGCTATTCGTCATGGTGGTCATGAAGAATGGAAATTTTTAGAAAGTCAGCTGACGTTGAACGATTCTGTAAATGAGGAAGATAACGGAAACAAGATGTTGGCATTAACGTGTTCTCGTGATACGGAAATTATGAAAGAGTAAGTTAATCTGTTACCTTCAATATTACACTGTCACACCTGTTATTGAAAACGGTAACCCGACTAGATGTTTGGAATCCCCATTCTTATCAGCTAATGAATATCGTCACAGAAAATAAATCCGTTTGTTATGATCGAATATTTCTTAAAATTTGCATGATATTTTCTGAAATTATCTGTGACAATGACTGTGATTGACTAGTTGGTAAGATATATGTTTTTACTCCTCGAATAACAACTAAACACTCTCAAGCCTAATGAAAGTTTATGACATGAGCTTAAACCAACTCACCCTCAAATGTAATAGGACACGAGACATGTTCTTAATTTATGGTTGAAACTACATAAAACTTGACTACTCACACTTTTGGAAGGAGTTTATAAAGTACCATCGAGTAAACACGACAAATTTGAACAACTGATTCAAACCCTAGTGGTTTACATTATCAACTTCAGTTAATTTGCTTTCATATCATAATTGACTTAAATTTAACTCCATGTGGATATACTGAGATCAGTAGAATTTCACATGTGGATCAACAGTTACCTCATGAATATCATCAAGATATGTCACTCAAAACGTTTCAGTGAACACTGAAGTTTAAAGTCAACTAGAACCCATCGAATAATACTGAACAATTTTTTCTTAATTCAACAACAGCGTTCACTGACAAACAAAACCGACATCAATGGGACTACCGATATAAAGACTTATTACAAAGTGGTGATGTAATAACTGAAAGCTTCATATTTACCTGTAATCACACTGAGAATGTCGATTCGTTATTTGCACGACACATTCGTCATCACCGAGAAGATTGAGTTTAAAATAAAACATCTTCGAAGGGATAGAATTCACAACGAAATGAGAAGGAATCGCCGTCAAGACCAGTCATCTTAGCTACAAATCTCATCGACCATACCTTAGTCCTGGCCCTCATATCCTTTTATTCTACAGATGTAAATGTTCATATGATTAAATTAGCACACCACACCTACTCAGCTAAACATTTCCTCCATCTTTTCATCAGGTACTTAGAGCGGGTAAGAGAGAACGAGAACTTATGGTTTACGCTTGACTATTTCGCGAAATCTCCAGTTGGCAACCAACTTTTATGGGACCACCTGAGTGATGTAAATAATTTTGATAAACATAAGTGAGTCTAAATTTTTATTGACAGTGAGGAACCGATGTCATAATAATGTCATGAGGTTGATGGTGCTTGTTGACTTCAAACGTTTGTGCTTTGTTTGTGAAGTCGCATAGTATGCATTATATGTACGAGATAGACTGAATACCAATATCTTGTAATATCAGTTTGCAATAGAGGAGATTTTGTAGACCTATTTCATTCATGCTTTCGTATATGAAGAATTCTATCGAATATATATGAACCTTTTGATGAACATAGTAATTTATCTCATACAAATTTTTCAGCAAATGTAATTTTAAGCTGATTAACATATCAATAAACAGTTAGTACAAGGACTAGTAAATTACCTTAAATAACTCATGATTGTGCCATTTCGATTATGGATGTTTTAGTTCTCCATGTTTCAGCTCAGTAGAACACAACTGTCTTGACGTTCGTATTGAAGATTCTGAATTTCATGTTGGTGTTATCGGATGACCATCCTGATTTTTGCGATAGTTGATGGGGTGACGTCTGTAGAAAGGTCTGTGAGTGGTGATTCGATATCTGGTGAGTCCAATGAAGCTGCCCTATTCAAGAGTTCCTCAAAGTGTTCTGCCCATCTGTTCTTCTGTTCTTCAACCTCGATGATAGTCTTGCCTACTTTGTCCTTGACTGGTCTCTCTAGCTTAGTATATTTTCCTGCCACCATCGTCGAGTCATGTGGTTGTTTCTCATTTCCTTTCAGGCACATTTAACTTGGTGTATGCATTTGTGTGAGAGTATTATGTCGCTATATCCAATTTGTTGAATGCACATGGACGTGTAAATCTCTCATTATTTGTGTTCATTCATCTTAGTCCATGTCTTCCCACTATATCTTCGTATCCTTTGTTATCCACTCCGACTTTCGTGTTTAGATCACTTGCCAGCGTGATCGGGTCCTTTCCTGAGCTCTTAGTCATGATCGATCGCAGTCTCCTGTAGGACTGATCTTTATTATCGTCGTTGCTTTCATCGGTGTGTGCATAACATAGGATAAAATTCATTGTACTTCTCACCTTCTTTGTTTCGAATAATGCTTTGATTTTGTTGGTCTATGAAATTGCCTCCCTATAGGTGTGCTTCTTCGGACAGCATCAGAGCAACTCCCTGAGTGTGTAGAGCATTTTCCTCTTTATTAGTTGAATATGATAATTGTCTTGTTAGCACTACCAAGTACTCAGTCATTCGTCTATGGATATACTTGATGGAAAATAACCATACTAATTTTGTATTTCACTCTCTAATTTTCTTTCACAGAGACTTCACGGAATCCATACTAAACGCATTAGCTAAATATCCTTACTCATTGTTTAGTGGAAGGAATTATGAAAAGGTTAGTGGGGAGCTTGTTTGTTTTCCATCGCTTTACACGTGTTACTTTGTTTCGTCTTATATGTATACATACTATTATTCTGCGATTCAATTTTCCGAATGTGATCATTTAGACAAATCTGGTAATGTCCGGTAGCACACACTCCATTAATCGTAAACAGTTTCAATGAAGTTAAACTGAATAAAATGAAAGCAATCGAAATCGTCAACTAAGCATTTCTGCAATTTGCGGTCCGAGATATTATCGCTAAATGATTCAAACTCTAACACGGTGTAGAGTTACTCAGACTAGTGACTACACTGTAGTGTGTTACGGAAAATTTGGTGAATCCTTAGAACTGGATAAGAAGAATCTCCTTACTATTCAGCTATGAGTTAGTGGTAATTTCTCTATGTACAGTCTAGAGTGAGAATGATACAATTTAATTCTACAGTGCTTGTTTCCTGATTCATTTCTGCATTGAATCCTGATCATCAATCATGCGATTTTCAAGTGTTCGTTTCATAACTTAAGAGATCAAACTCACCAATAATGCAACCTCAGTCAACACTCTTTAGCGTTTCTGCAGTATGAAGGAATGTATGCAGAATCTACATCAAAATTCCTAAGTACTTGACAATATTCTTTTACAACGAACCAAGCACTCATTATTTTGCTAGATAACTGATTGACGTCCACTATTTTTCATCTCAAATTTAAACTGTCAAGTTTATGAATTGGCTCCATATGAATTGTACATGAAACGACATTTTTGTCTTTACAGATCCTCCTAACAGAAGCTAATAATCAAATAGACCCAGAACTTCAAGAGAAGGTCAAATATTTATTTGAGATATCCAGTGAAAAACCAAAATGGACTGAAGTATATTCTACCATTATTCAGTGGTTGAAAGAAAATGTCCCAATTGTTACCCATTCATTATAGATCAGTACCGTTGATGAAGATCAACCGAGTGTTCAAGCATAAACGATACAAGATAATTCTTTCGACTTCGTCATTGTTAGCATTAGTATCTTTTTATTGTATCAAGCCTTAGGACATTTATATGTTACTCCATATTCACACCAGCACTTTGAATGATTGCTTGTAGTAACTCATAGTAACGTTTACTGGATATTTGTATTTATTCATGCAACACTGACGTTACAATAATTTTGTTGTGTGTTTTGATTTAAAATGTTCAATATACAGAATGTTAAATAAAATACATTGAGTATGAACAAAATAGTCTTTGTTAATCAACAAAATATTGTTCTCTTAAGGCATATAAAATGTGATTGAAGCTGTGTAAAAACATTTGTTGAATTTCAACCCAAGCAAACCACTTCAAAAACAGGAACTCTCAACCTATTTAAAAACTAAATCTAATAACTAATTCACAGGTTCAGATTAAACTAAACCATCCAATCAGTTTTCTAATACATGATGTTAAAATGTATAATCTCATATCGATTCTCATCCGCTTCCTGACCGGTTATTCCAATTACCTAAAACCCGTATGTCGATGGCGCTGCAGCATTATTCCAGATATTTTGAGGCAAATATGAATGTTCGGTATTAAATCCGTTGAAGTAATAAAGTGTTTCACCATTACAAACTTATAGGGAATTGACAGTGTTAGGTCTATCAAAGCCTGCAGGTCACCCAATTGTGATACGCGCAAAACCGAAGTTGGTAAAATAAAGATTTGTCTTTATTGAATAATACACAAACATTAGTTACAAACCTCAACTTGTGAGGTGTCTGTGGCGTTTAACGCGTCCTTTCGCAAGAAATAAAAAGGCTTCGGTGGTACAAAAGACAGCTGATAGGTGTGTCTAAATTCGGTAACTTTATCAACATTTGAAACCTGAAACGGGATCCAAAAAATTGGAAAGTGCTGTGTTAGAACAAATGAACAAAACTGTAGATAACTATTACAGCGATTAAGGTAAAGTCATTGTAATGATAAATACAATGGTAAATACAATAAACGCTATAATTATATGTAAATATTTCAGAATATTACACGACAACTTGCGTTACAACGAAAGTGTAAACTTTACTGGGATTACAACTACTTACTGAATGTGAATAAGTAGTATAAAACAATGCTCAAAAGAGTGAAAGAGAAGCGAGCAAGAACAATGTAAAAGAAACTCAACATCGCTGCCCAAGGACAGCTTATCTTTCCTTACTCTCACGGGCTAGATATTTAGTGTGGAAACAATCAGAGATGACAATGGTATAATTTACTTTAACCACAGTCATTCCGCAAAGTCTTTCTACACTCTACTACTCAATCGTCTGCTCCTTCTAACGAGCAAACTTTACGTTTATCACTAATGATTATACCTCTCAACGTTCTGGTCTTTGCTTGTCTGACGAGACCATCTTCTCCTGGATCAACACGCACCGCTAGAACTTCAAACCAGTTACTTCGTACGTAAGTGTCCACTTTGTTCGCGTCTGCAAGAGTGATAAATATTCCTTTATCCAAAATGTAGTCGCCAACGTTTGATGAAGGTGGGGTTTTCTTTAGAACAGCAAGTTCGTGGGTGACCATGTTTCGTGATGTCTTGGGTCATGGTAAACTGGTACGAAACGTAAACCATTAAGTATTTGTTCTACTTCAGTCGAATAGGTGGTGATTGTCTCATAAGACAGAATTTGTTCACTGAATACTGCGCTCAAATTTTTACGTACGCTTCTTATTAATCTTCCTCCACGACGACTTGCTTAGGGTGTGTAGTAGTGCTGTACTATGTTCCGTTGTGTCATTTCTTTAGCTGCTCTATTACATCATATACCTTATATATCTTATATATATAAGCTAGGCATTGTTTGAGTTTGGTCCATGACGAAAAATACGATATAAATCTATGGAAAAGTAAAACTGTAGTCTTGGTTGTCAAGGCTGTAGCGTTATTTTTCTCGAGATCGATAAGAAACTTTAATATCTCATTTCTTTTACACTCGGGCCACTTATTCCTTTCGGTTATCAGAAATTAGGGTTTTGAAAGCTTACGCATTCCTCCAGAAGCTAAATCAGCAAGGTTAATTATTTTTGCCACACACTTCCACTGTGTTGACCTAGTTTATTTATGAATGAAGTTAGTTCTATCAGTTACATATGTCTTGAAGTGTGACGTTGCATTAAGTGTGTAGTTTATTACTACAACTCGTTAAACGACACAACTCATTATTCTTTATTACTACATTCTCTTATATGGAGCCTCTGGCTTCATTTCACTCTAACAAGATATAATATGAATTTATTCTAATTAACTATACCTCTGTCCTTTCTACTACACAATGTTAAGCAGCGTTTGAGGTTCATATCCAAATGCCTTTCTGCTCTTTTGTTTCTCTTTTTTTCTTCTTCAGAAATTTGCTCTGAGGGCACAGCTATGAAACTTCTGACGTTTGGAACAAACTTGACGTACGTGTCTCCTCAAGGTCACGGTTTACAGCAAGCTCCCTACGAGTATACTTTATAACAACTATAACCTTAATAAGTTGCGAAGCATTTTGTGAACCAGCAAGTGTTGTAATTGGTAGATCATGCCTGTAAAAATGGCGTGCACCTACGCATGCAGAAATATATTATTATTATTATTATTATTATCGTGGAATCAATGCAGAAGTAGATTTCAGTCAGGTCTTTCAGTTTTATTTCTTCCACTATTTGCCTTATCGATTTTACTGACAGTATTGCGGCTTGCAGTTCAAGGAGTGGAACACTAGCAAAATTTAGAGGAATTATTCTGGATTTTCCCAAGATGAAGCGTCATCTGGTTACAATTGCATTGAATTGCAATCTCATATAAGCCACGGCTCCATAACTGCTTTCTGAAGCATCTGAAAGCAGATGCAACGAGATTTGTATTAAATCCGACGACTCAATATTCAAACATCGTGGTAATCTTAGGGCTCCGACACCTGAAATACTCTATACCAATTTCCTCAACCTGATTGAAACTCCTCATCAAACATTTTATCCCATCCATAGTTTTTACGTAAAAAATAGCTGTTGCAGGATTTATTTAGGTGTATATGATATAGCTGCTATAAATCCAAGCAGATCATATAAAAACTCCGCCTGTAGCTCTTACAGGGTTACTGCCCGTCCCAAGTCCGGGTAAAGGAGGAGGTCTGGGCATGGGGTAAGCGTCCCCATCCCGTCGAAAACTAACTCGCTATAAAAACGCTTACCAGAAAAAATAATTCAAACCATTTTAACTCTGCCCTGAAAGTTCATTTAGAAGAATTATGACGCTTCATGGTGAAAGCCGAGTTCCTTCGGAAGCCACGAGGCCGATGACCCTTCTAACAACCAGAGCAAATGTTTTTGTAGGTACATGGAACGTCCGAACAATGTGGGAGACCGGGAAGACCGGTCAAATATCAATGGAAATGAGGAGATACAACTTAGCAGTACTGGCAATCAGCGAAACCCACTGGACCCAAGCTGGACAGAAAAGGCTAGCTACGGGAGAGATGCTGCTATACTCCGGTCACGAAGAGGAAAATGCTCCACACACTCAGGGAGTTGCTCTGATGCTGTCCAAAGTAGCACGAAATGCACTTGTAGGATGGGAATCTCACGGATCCAGAATCATCAAAGCATCATTCAAAACAAAGAAAGAGGGGATCTTAATGAATGTTATCCAATGTTATGCACCCACCAATGATAGCAACGACGAAATTAAAGATCAGTTCTACGAGCGGCTGCAGTGAATCATTGAGAAATGCCCAAGGAAAGACCTAACTATTCTGATGGGAGATCTAAATGCCAAAGTCGGAATAGACAACACTGGATATGAAGATATTATGGGACGACATGGATTGACTGGGAGAGAGAAACGAAAATGGAGAAAGATTTGCAAATCTATGTGCATTCAACAAATTGGTCATAGGAGGCACAATATTTCCACACAAGCGTATACACAAGGCTGCATGGATCTCACCGGACCACACTACAGAGAACCAAATAGATCATATTTGCATCAACACAAAATTCCGAAGGACAATGGAAGATGTGAGAACCAGGAGAGGTGCTGACGTAGCTTCAGATCACCACCTAGTTGTAGCCAATTTAAAACTGAAGCTAAAGAAGAACTGGACAAGTGGACAAACAGCACTACAAAGGTTCAATACAGCCTTCCTTCGAGATACTGTCAAACTCAATGAATTCAAGATAGCTCTCAACAACAGGTTCCAAGCCTTACAAGATCTACTGAAAGAAGAAGAAACTAGTATGGAGGACAACTGGAAAGGCATCAAGGAAGCATTAACTTTAACGTGTCAAGAGGTTTTGGGTCTAAAGAAATACCATCATAAGGAATGGATCTCTACAGAAACACTGGACAAGATCAAAGAAAGGAAGAACAAGTAGGCAGCAATAAACAACAGCCGAACACGAGCATAGAAAGTCCAAGCACAAGCTGAATACATAGAAGCAAACAAACAAGTGAAGAGGTGGATTAGAAGAAGTACGTGGAAGAACTAGCAACGACGGCAAAAAAAGCTGCAAGAGAAGGAAATATGAAACAGCTTCACGATAAAACGAAGAAACTATCAGGGAAATACAGTAAACCAGAGAGGCCGGTCAAAGACAAAGAAGGCAGGAAAATCACCGAAATTCAACAACAGCGTAACAGATGGGTAGAATACTTCGAGGAACTCCTGAATAGGCCGGCTCCAATGAATCCACAGGACATCGAAGCAGCACACATATATCTTCCTATAGATGTCAATCCACCAACTACGGAAGAAATTAGAATGGCCGTCAGACAAATCAAGAACGGGAAAGCAGCAGGACCCAACAACATACCAGCTGAAGCACTGAAATCAGACATCGAAGCAACCACAAGCATGCTTTATCTTCTATTCAAAAAGATTTGGGAGGAGGAACAAGTGCCGATGGACTGGAAAGAAGGACA